GCTGAGAACCTCCTCTTCTAACTATAAACAGAAGACCCATGATCAAAGCAGCTCTGGAAAAGCAGCTGCAGCTGATGAATCTCCCAAATGCTATAATTGTGGAAAATCTGGACATCTTCAGAAGGACTGTCGCCTACCCAAAAAAGGGACGTCAACTTCTATAAACAGAAGATGATCTGGAACAAACAAAAGATGTTGCAGGCACAAAAAGAAGAGGAGAATGCAGCACTGCTTGCTGAGAAAGATCATTGGGCCGAGGACTCATCTGATGAGGAGGAAAAGGAGAACTATGCGCTGATGGCATTGTTGGAGGATGAAGAAGAAGAAAAGGGTGATGTTGTGATCCCCGAAAGTGAGAGCTCGAATAACACTGTAAGTACTTCTGATTCTCAATGCTCTTATTCTAATCAAGGTCAATCCTTACAAGATAAGGATGACTTAATTAATGACCTAAGGGAGAAGTTAGACAATAACTACCAAGAATTTGTTAGGTGTCTAGACCAGAAGGCCTCCTTAAGCATACTACTTGAAAATGAAAAACAAGTTGCCAAAAAGACGACACTTGAAATTGATGAGCTGACACTCAAGGTTGCTGATCTGACTGGTAAAGTTTTTCAAACTGAGATAGGGCTAAGTACAGAAAAAGCTGACAAAAACGTTTTTGACAATCAAAGAAATACTCTTTTCAGCAAAATAAAAGAACTTGAGGATTTGATTGCTACAAGAGGTCAATCAGAACAAACTATCTTCTTAAATCAAATTATTGATGACCGGTATTATAATCCCAGATCCGGGCTTGGCATATCTAATCCATGCTATCTAAAGAAAGTTGATTGCATTCAACTTTATGACTTAAACCACACGAGACTAGGATATGGTCAGAAAATGTATTATACGGGTGAAAAGGAAAATGCTGAAGAGGAATAAGAAAAGAGAAAGAACCCAAAAACTGAAACTTCTTTCAATCATACTGTTTTAAATGAAAAAAGCCTTACAGGCGAAGGGCAAAAATTTTCTACTAATGAGTGTGTGGATCCGTATGCTATTGTGAAGGATGTACCACACCTGGGACATCCCTTAGACCCACCTCCAACGGTTGGTATCTCTAAATTTGGAAAGGAAGCTTGTATCTTTCCAATGGCACAAAAACTTAAGGATTTGCAGAACACTCTTGATAACGAAAGAGAAAGGTTTGAATCTGAGAAGAAAAGTTTTGGAAGTAATTGGGAAATACTTTTGGGTGAATTTAATCAATCAAGTGAAAAATTTCACTCAAAAGAAACTCCTCTCACAACCAGTTTTTCTGAAGAAAAGGAGACTCCCATCTCACAAAATCAACCTAAACTTTCAATAGGAAAATCCACTCATCTCTCTTCTCCTTTGTTCACAGGACAAGAAGTGAAAAAGAGAGTGGAGAAGAAGGAAGAGTGGAGACTAAAAAGAAAAGAAATTGCCGAAGGAAAGAAGAAAATTTTTGAAGAAAAGAAGTCCAGTTCTTGTTCCAGTTCTCTTTTTTATTCTAAGAAAAAATATAGTTCTGTTCCAGTCAAACATTATGTCAGTAATTCAGCCTTGAGTCCTAAGCTGAAAAATTCTGTGTTATCTTTTGAATAATCTTGTTCTTATAATTCAACTATTGCTTATGGCTATTCTGTTCCTGACCCCCATAATTATGAATGCGATTCGAATGTTGTTAAGGTGCAACCTCAGAGAGAGGTCAAACAAAGCAAAGAAATCAAGAGTAGAACCTTTGAGGGAGTTTTCTGTCTTCCAAATCTAAAATATCCTCTCAAAGTTCATTCTAAGAAACATTTAAACAGACTCTCGAAAGAGAAGATTTTTAATTCTCAACTCACGAAACAACCATTCAATCACAAGGCTAATGTCTACACTTCTCCCACCACCAAACAAAAGTGGGTCCCCAAGAACGGACCTACTAAATCTGAAACTGCAAAGTGGGTCCCCAAGAACGGACCTATTAAACTTGAAAATGCAAAGTGAGTCCCCAAAAACGGACCTACTAAAACTGAAACTGCAAAGTGGGTCCCAAAAAACGAGCCTACCAACACTGAAACTGCTAAGTGGGTCCCCCAAAACGGACCTACTAAAACTGAAACTGCGAAGTGGGTTCCCCAAACCAGACCAACTGCACAAGCAGGACTGGCTATTACAGAACCCGCAAAAGAAAAATCATTTGGTGAAAAAGCTGTTGACCTTGGATCACAGCTAAAAGAAAGATTCAAAAAGGCGTTTTCGATTAATAAGGAAGGACCCATCCCAAGGAGGGTACCTAAACCTGCTTAACTGTTTTGCAGGGCGGTCATGTGTGGCACTTAGACTCTGGATGCTCAACCCACATGACCGGATTGAAACACCTTTTGAGCAACTACACCAACTGCTACGGAGGGAACGTCATATTGGGGAATGATGCCTCATCTCCTATTCTTGGCTTTGGAGATGTTGTTTGCCCAAGTGTCACAATTAAAACTGTCTCATTCGTTCAAGGGCTCAAACATAATCTAGTGAGCATAGGACAGTTCTGTGACAGTGGAATGGAAGTGAAGTTTAAATTCGATCAATGCCGTATCATGAACAGCTTTGGAAAAACATTATTAACGTGTACCAGGACCTCTAACATGTACACGATTGACCTGAAAAGCGTACAAGCAACTTCCTCCATCTGTCTACTGTCAAAAGCTTCCACTGAACAGAACAGTTTGTGGCACCTACGTCTTTCCCATCTGAACTTCAAGAACCTATCCATCTTATCTTCCAAGAATCTTGTGATGGGGCTTCCTCTGCTGAAGTCTTCCGCTGAAAACCATTGTAGTGCCTGCAAACTAGGCAAGATGAAAAGAAGCTCCTACAAGTCAAAGCCTGTTCCATCCTCTACTCATCCGCTGCAGTTGATTCACATGGATATGTGTGGACCTATGAGAGTCCAAAGCATCAACGATCTCAAGTACACTCTTGTAATCTTTGATGATTTCTCAAGGTACACATGGACAAAATTTCTTCATACAAAGGACGAGACTGCTGAAACCATTATGACCTTTATGAGAACCATTCAAAACCTGCTACAGATGAGTGTTTTCATAACAAGAACTGACAACGGTACCGAGTTCAAGAATCAAACTCTCACGGATTTCTATGAATCTCTCGGTATCACACATCAATTTTCTGCAGCCTAAACCCCCCAACAGAATAGAGTTGTTGAAAGAAAGAACAGAACACTTGTCGAAGCAGCACGCCGCACCTTGCTCATTCAATCCACACTGCCTCATTTCATGTGGGCAGAGGCAATCAATACAGCGTGCTTCACACAAAACAGAACTTCTATCCACAAATGCTTCGACAAGACTCCCTACGAAATTCTTTTCAACAGAACTCCAGATATCTCTTTCTTCAAGATCTTTGACTGCAAGTGTTTTGTACTGAATGACCGAACTGAGAGAAGTAAGCTTGACACGAAAGCCAGAGAAGACGTGTTCATTGGCTATTCACTTCAGTCAAAAGCTTACAGAGTCTACTTGAGAGACAGGCGAACAGTCATTGAGAGTGTGAATGTGACATTCTATGAAATGGCTGACTTCGCAACATAACACCTACAGGCTGACCCGAATCTTTCTGTATCATAGGCTTCTGATAATGATGATCCCAACAAAGTACATGAAGGTGTGATTCTCAACTCTCTCTTCAGACACTTTTATGAGAATTCACAACCTTCATCTCCTTCATGCACACCCGCTTCAACCTCAGAACCTCCACCACAATCTACTCCAACTACTGTGATCCCACTTCTACCCAGTCCAGAAGACGTACCATCTTTGCCATCCACTTCTCAATCCAATCACGAAGAAGTTGAGGATCATGGTTTTGATACAACCCCAGAATCATCTCCTCTGCACAACACAACTGCTCAAGACACCACCATTCCTTATGAGGACTCGAACCAACCAATCATAACTCCAATTCCTATGGCTCATGAGAGGAAATGGACAAAGGCACATCCTGTTGAACAGATAATTGGTGATCCGAGTCAAGGTGTACGCACAAGATCCGCTACAGTGAACAAATGCATCTTTGCTTGTTTCTTAAGCCAGTCTGAACCATCAAAGGTTTCTGAAGCACTACTTGATCCTGATTGGGTGATTGCAATGCAAGATGAACTTAATCAATTTGAAAGACTGGATTTATGGACACTCGTGTCTAAGCCATAGAAGAAAACTATAATTGGCACGAAGTGGGTATTCAAATACAATAGAGATGAAGAAGGGATAGTTGTACGCGAACCTACCTGCGCATATAAAAAGGCGCTTAAGGGTTATGTTTGCGTTAACTTTTGCATTCGATCTTAATAGCCTCAGAGCTTATCATTCTTACTGTAAAAGTTCACGGTATATCAAAGACGAGTTTAAGGATCTCCAGAGCATTTATCTTTCTGTTATTCTCATCTTTGTGTATCGATATATTGCTGTAATCTATAAACAGGGACAAACAATTCCCACCAATGATGCTAACACCTCTAATCTTATCTCCATAAACGCAGCTTCGCATTTTCCAATTAAGCTATCCAAGGATGGCAGCATGGCAGCATCTCCTTGTCCTGGCAATCGCAAATGGCAAACTTCTTTTTGGGTTCGACCTTCTTGGTTATGTGGACGGATCTCTTCCCATACCAAGCTAAGGGCAAAATTGCCACTTTGAATTCCGCCAAGAATGATTGTACTTGAATTTTACGTAACATGCATTAATAGACTCAGTTTAAAGAGACGAGGGTTTTATCCAGGGGCAGACATAGTGTATAATGAGGGTAAGTACAGGCTACACCTCAATTATTGTTGCTAGCCCATGTGGTAGTAGCATTCAAATAAAATAAAATTGCTTTTGAACTTCAGGTCAGTGGGTCGAATCTCGCCAAAGCTACAAGTGATTTTTGTTTTTACGGAGTAGGTGCTATCCTCTCTTCTTAAAAGCATCTAAATTTAAAATTATCCACCTACTATCTAAACCCAATCGACATCTTTTTTTTTCAAAATGTAAAGAGCAACTTTGAGTCATCCACTATTTTAATTTCAGGTTTTTTGGGTCTCTAAATATATAAATGGTTAAATCCTTATTATTATTTTAACATGTCTATATTGCATTCTTTAACATTCCAATTTATTTAACATTTAAACCACCAAGTTTATTTTAATTTTTGCTCTTATGAACCAAATAAATATCAATAATAAATACAAGAATATAATAGTATTCAAATAAAATTGCTCTTGATCTTCAGGTAGTGGGTTGAATCTCGCCAAGGCTACTAAGTGATTTTTGTTTTTTAAGGAGCAGGATTCTCAATAAAATACGGGACGCACCCACCACGTAATACAGAGCCATATTTATGGGCTTCATGGTTTCTTCTGAAATTGCTGGACAGAGCGAAGTCATCATTCAAACGCTGACCAGGAGAAAACTCATCCATCCTTCTAATCTTCATCAGCTCTACTTGAAAGTAAATGATTTTTCTTATGCAAGTTATGCAAACTTGATTGTACATCTATGTCTCTATGAATAGTTACTTAGTTAATTCCTGATTGCTTGTGTAGTTGTGTATTTTCTTGATTTGTTTTCTAGCTTTTGGGAAATCAAAAGAAGTTGATTTAATCGCAAGAATTGAAACTCAAGTTATGTAAACATATGGACTTTTCCCATTCCCGGTATATCCTGTAATAGAAAGGAGAAGTCAAACATATCGCTATTATGAATACTGAGTATGGCAGGTTGTAAATAAACGATTGGGAGCGAGGTCTGTTTTGATTTTCCATATTTTAGGTTTTTGAGATTCTTATGGTAAATTATATATACGGTATTTTAACTGTATGTGAGTACCGTAAAGTTTTTTGGTCTTAACTGACCTCTTATCACTCCAACTCTTTAATCTTTCTTTTGAGGGAGGTTTTGGGTTTTAGGGATTGTTTGGTTCAGGTATTTCGGATTGAAAGCAAGAGGAGGACTAATTTTTATTTTATTAACTATATTCTTTTTTCTAGTTATTAAACTATTAAATAGCTCTCTAAAAATCTATAAATAGCTATATGATTTGTTTGATCATATATTTTTATATAGTTTGTTATCTTAAGTTTAGGTCTGACCATCTGAATTTAGAAGTTAGTAAAAATGAATAAACATTTCCCCTCCCAGGCTCCCCTTCCCTCCAGTTCAAGATCTTCTAGAACGGTAGAACCAAACAAGACCTTTATGCTAATGCTTGCAAGTACAACAGCTCCTACTGGGCACCAATCTGATGAATGAATTCCAAATCTTTAATATTGCCTACTACCACCTTTTGTAGCACACTCTTCAAATGGCACGGTCTGCTGTGGATGAGACGTCAGCATCTGGTGCTTTTGAGAGAACTCCGTCTAACTTCCGCTATACGATTACAGACGACCCTAATTCTACTTTCCCTGCAGATGCTGGCAGGTATCATCTCTATGTGTCATATGCGTGTCCTTGGGCATCACGGTGTCTTGCCTACCTGAAGATCAAAGGCCTTGGCAAAGCTATTAGTTTCACTGTAAGTGGTGTGTTGTTCTAATCTCTAAGAGCCTGTTTGGTTAGGCTTAGACTTAGAGCCGCAGAAGTTGGTGAAGTGGCTGAATTTGTTTACTAAAGTTGTAGCTGATAACCAAAACTGCTAAACATAAAAAAACTGAACTAAAAATATACTTTATTATTAAAATAAAGAAACAATATGAGGAAACATTAAACTGTTCATCTTCCGCAACCTCAAACATTTGAGCCAAAATAGTACCTTTAATTTTACTGTTTTTCATTATTATACTCCCTCTGTGACTGTCTCATTTTACTTGTCTTACTTTTCTTTTTAGGTTGTCCAAAAATAAGTGTCATATTTCCTTTTTTGGAAAGAATTATGACGTCTACAACATTTCACTTTATTATACTCAATAACTCAAATCTCAACCTCAACTTTTACTTCTTCAACCACTTTATTAATAGTTGTGCCAAACCAAAACAAGACACGTAAATGGGACGGAGGTAGTACAATTTAGCGTGCATACTTAAGAAAGTTCATTTGATTCAAAAGTTTGTATACTATCTCACACCGGTCAAATACAATATTAAATAATTACATATAAGACTTTGGACTACTCATCCTAAAGTAATGGAACCCCAAGTCTTGGTATGGGCCCCTATAACAAAAATGCACATACTAGACGAAGACGAGTTTTTAAGGTTGAACTGCAAGTCTTAATAAAGTTGACATTAAGAAGTTTCCTTTTTGTTTTGTTTTTGTGTGGACATAATTAGTCTGTTAAACCCATATGGGGGAGAACGAAGGACACTGATGAACACATGGGTTGGATTTTCCCTTCTTCAAGCATTGAAGAACCAGGAGCTGACCCTGATCCTTTAAATGATGCCAAGAGTATAAGAGAACTCTACGAGCTTGCAAGTTCTAATTATGCAGGAAAATACACGGTTCCTGTATGTACAATGTAAACTTGACCCTCATCTTTGGTACCATCAATTTTGTCTACAAGTGTATAATAAAACAGATTTTTGTTTGTTGATAGGTTCTGTGGGATAAGAAACTGAAAATCATTGTGAATAATGAGAGCTCGGATATAATCCGCATGTTTAATACTGAATTCAATGGCATAGCAGAAAATGCAGCCCTGGATCTTTACCCTCCTCACTTACAGTCCCAAATCAACAGTATAAATGAGTGGATATACGACGGGATAAACAATGGAGTGTACAAATGTGGGTTTGCTAGGAAGCAAGAGCCTTATGACGAGGTAGTAATTCTTTTTTCTTTTCACTTCTGCTCATCCTTACCAACCCAATATGTCAAGAAACCAAATGCATATGAGGGTGAATGAAATTAACAGACATATACACCTTCTGATTATGTGATTTATATATTTCCATCGCACTATTTTGTGGTTTGGAGCCTACTTGGCGTTTTCATAGATTGGTAATTGCTTTCATTTATTTTGGAGCGGTGATTAGGTATCCTCTATGGGGGTCACCCTTTATATTTTGTGCACATTGTCAATGTTATTTTTGGGTGTTAATATATATTACATATTTACCTTTCATCCAAAATAATAGACATGCACTAATGCGTTATTTTGTTAAAAAACTGTGATTTACACCTCATTTAGAATTATTTGGTGGTTGGAGTTAAATTACTGAAATCATATAAAGTAATGTTGGAATGACTATAATTTACCCGATTTTTGGGATTTGATCAAAACCCACATGGTGCACGGAGAATTTGTCGATCCCGCTATTTCAGGAATTGGGGATTCTGGGGAGTTTTCTAGTTCCTAACTTTTTCATTCACAACTTGTATAGCACACCAATTCCCTGGGAACTCCTTTGTTCTTGAGAATAATGAACCATTTCAAGTGAGGCCTTAATGTTCAAGGCATTCATTGACGAGACTACTTTTTATTTCAAATGTCGATGCAGGCAGTTCAAAAGCTATATGAAGCTCTAGATAAATGTGAGGATATTCTCAGCCATCAGCGATATCTGTGCGGAAATCAAGTGACAGAAGCTGATATCCGCTTGTTCGTCACCCTTATTCGGTTTGACGAGGTAGCCATTTTTTTTGCACTATGATGCCTAAGCTTAGCCAACATGGAACTCGTCATCTTAGATTTAATTACATGAAAATCTGTAGTTAGTATATTGAAAAGAGGTCTGTGATGTCCATATTTGAGAAGCATTAATTACTAGTTGATAAGAATTGTTGAGTTTTACCTTGGGAAAAAAATATTATGTCTGGTTCAGTGAGCAGGGTGATAGGAATTAGCATTTAGAATAATATGGAAAAGAAAATTGTATTTGATTGTATCTAACATTTGCCTTTAAGATGGAGGACTGTATCATCATTATCATGCAAGTGACGATCTCACTCGTTGATTTATAATAGTATGAGAAGCATAGATGGTTTGGATGTGGGAATTATCCTCGGAATTAAGGTTTTTCATTATTTCCCAAAATGCCCTCATATAGTAGGTCATATCTTTTTAAAACCAAAACTTATTTTTTCAATTTTTTCTCACACGCTGACGCGATCTTGATTTCTGCAGGTCTATGCAGTTCACTTCAAGTGTAACAAGAAGTTGCTACGAGAATACCCGAATCTCTTCAATTACACTAAAGACATCTTCCAAATCCCAGGGATGAGCAGTACAGTAAACATGGAACACATTAAGAAGCATTACTATGGAAGTCACCCCTCTATCAATCCATTTGGAATCGTCCCCCAGGGTCCATATATTGACTATGCTACTCCCCATGACAGGGAAAAGTTGGCTTAACAGTATCACATATACATCTTGTACTACATACTCTTGTTCATATGTGGTTTCTCTTATCTGTTTCCTGTAAAGCTTTCTTGCATGTTCCCTTTAAAAACAGTTATTTGGTGATGCCTATAATGTTTCCTTGGTGCCCTCTTATTCCTTGCAATAAAAGATTTCCCGCGTTGTTGCGGGGATATGTTTGTATTATCTCTTCTTCCTGTACCAAAACAAAACAACTTCCTGTACAAAAACAAAACAAAGAGATCCCACACTTTCAATTTGTTTCTAGTTGATTGATCTTATACGTAGTATCATTTATAATAATGATAATAATACTCCCTTCTTTTGTTTGTCTACATGAGTTTTGTTTTACACATATAATGAGTAGGAAAAGTTTGTGGGTTGGTTTCAAAAATGCCAAGGTTTGTAAATCTAAGAGTGATTTTGTGTGACTGAAGTATGTCGATTAAATTGATGGTAAAATTTATCGAACAACAATTTGTCAATTAGCCTCCATTGTTGTATGGCATTGAGTCTTGGTCAGTCAAACAATCTCACATTTAAAAGACGAATGTGGTGGAGATATGCATGAATTGGTTGAGGTGTGCCGTGTGCCGTGTGGCCGGTGTGGGTAATCAAGAAAACCCTGTTCGATAAATTAGATATTAGATAAAAAGTGAGAGTAACACATACTGAATATAAGATGTGAGAGTCTTGATTGCGCTAGTTTAGACATATGTTAGAGGGTCGAGTGATGGACATGTTAGACATATTGAAAGATGAGGAGGGAAGGAGGCGACATAGACATAAATGAGCGGTGGAAAATTGATACGATATTTCTTAGATTATATGAATGTATGAATTTGAAAAGAGCGTAGTGGAGGAGCTGAGAGTATAGAAATGGGTGATTATTTTGATACTAGTATAATTTTTCTCCCTTTCTCTCTATTCATTATGGAGTATTATTTATTATTATTACTAGTCAATCAACCTCTGCGTTGCAAGAATTGATTTTTGAGTATATAATCAGATTGAAAACAGTATTTATTTGTTTTCCTTCCTTCTAATACTACCCTCTTAGTACTCTGTTTTAGAAAACTCAAGTCTAGACTCTAGAGTATAAAACTTACTCTCGTTGCTCCATGTGCAATAGTTAAGATAATGTACAAATAATTTTTTTATTTGAGTTTATATATTTTTACTACCTTCTTCAGATTTATTGGGATTGATACAATATGTAGCAGACTCTGGAATTTCAAATAATGCATATAAAAATTGATTAGAAAATGTTCGTGCTAAAAATATTCACTAAACTTTTGGAGGGTTTTGTCGCAAGTTGAAGGATCAAATGAGAAGAGTGCTTATCGTAGGAAGTGAGAATGCATCTGGTGCGTTCACTTTAAGATGTGTGCATCAAATTAGCAAAAAAATACACGGAAAAATGCAAAAAATATTTAAAAAGTGATGCTAGACGCAGTGTCATTTCCGTAATTAATCGGAACTTTTCTGCCATCACAAAAAGTGCATCAGATTAGCAAAAAAGTGCATCAGAAATAGCTAAATGTGTAACTTCTCACTTCTCACGTTAAGATGTCTTCTCATTAGAACCCGAAATTTATATGAAAATATTAGGGAAAATGGAAACTAATTATCCAACCTTTTAGCGGTTTTTTTTATAATAGTCCCACCTTTTGATTATTCATGAATAATCCAACCTTTGCACCTCATCTTCATTCACCGGTCCCTGACCGATTTATGACCAGTTATTCCAATTTATTTTCTTATCTTTGTAAAACGTTATGTCATAATTCACACCTTATGATCACATAATGTTTTGCAAAGATAAGAAAATAACTTGGAATAACAGGGCATAAACCGGTCAGGGACCAGTGAATGAAGATGGGGTGCAAAAGTTGGATTATTCATGAATAATCAAAATGTAAGACGGATGTAAGAATACCTTTAAAAGATTGGATTATTAGTTTCCATTTTCCCAAAATATTATTTCCTCCGTCGCTTAAAACTTTGCAAAGTTTGACCGGCACGAGAATTAATAAAGTAAAAACCGTGTGGTTGAGGTTTGTGCAGAGGAGAGAGAATTAATTGGAACCACAAATTCTTTACTTAAAAGGGAAAGTGGCAAAGTTAGTGGGACATCCAAAAAAGGAAAATTGGCAAGGTTTTAAGGGACGGAGAGAATATGAACAATTATAAGTATTCATGTGAGTTACTCTGAAAATGGTGTCATTTACATAATTTACAATAAATAATGAGTAGTGGCAATCTGTCACACCAATAAAAAAAGTGTGGGGATAAATATTGAAAAGGACACTATCTATTGGAAAAACTTTAGCAAGAAGTTAATCTAAATATATTCATACCTCTCATTTGAATTTGTTTGTTTTATTTAGAGTATAAGTTGTTCTCAAATCATTCTTACTTTTATAAAGTATACCCTGTGTCAATTAAATAGTTATATTATTTGTATATTTATGATTAAAATAAAAAATGTTTATAAAAATGTGATCTCTTATTACAGTAATTATAGTCATAATAATTTATGTTCATTTTTCATAATTAAGTGACCATAACACTATAATCATAGTAACTTTTATCATAGTTAGATATTTATTAAACAATTTTGTCATGTTGTACGGAAAACTCTCTCAACCCTGCCGCAACGGTTATCAACCCTAGCGCCGCAGTCCAGCCCAGTGCCCTGACTGCGGCTTTAGTTTTCTCGGCCGACATAACACTATAATCATAACACTATAGCCCAGTGCCCAGTGCCCTGACTGCGGCTTTAGCCCAGTGACCATAACACTATAATCATAGTAACTTTTATCATAGTTAGATATTTATTAAACAATTTTGTCATGTTGTACGGAAAACTCTCTCAGTCCAGCCCAGTGCCCTGACTGTGGCTTTAGTTTTCTCGGCCGACATAACACTATAATCATAACACTATAGCCCAGTGCCCAGTGCCCTGACTGCGGCTTTAGCCCAGTGACCATAACACTATAATCATAGTAACTTTTATCATAGTTAGATATTTATTAAACAATTTTGTCATGTTGTACGAAAAACTCTCTCAACCCTGCCGCAGCGGTTATCAACCCTAGCGCCGCAGTCAGGACACTGGGCTGGACTGGACCTGTACAAAGAAATTTTTGAAAAAGAATTCATACGGAATTTTTTACACTAAAAATTTTGACATTTTTTAAATTTGGGTTGGGTCTGGGCCAGGGCTGACCCTCCCCTAGCTACGCCCCTGACCGCAGCGGGTCTCTACTTCTCCCTAGCAACTTTTGCTTAGGGTTTTTCTTCCGCCACTTTAGGCATGCAGCTTTAGTTTTCTCGGCCGACATTATGCTACGGTCGTTGCTCGGTGGCCGTGTTGTACCGGTTGGATTTGGCAAGGGGGGATCATGAAGATCGGCGTCTCTCGCTAGGGTACACATTGGGAGATGTCGAGCTGAGACTAAGCTTGCTTCGTAGATGCTACTCTAGAAGTGACAAGGTGAAATCAAAGGCTTAATTAACATGTCTATTCCATGCAGTGGCGGACCCACTAAGGGTCCCACGGGGTCCCGGGACCCCATGGACCTCCAAAAAAATACCTATATATATTTATATATATTTTATATAAAATTAAGGAATAAGTATTTATACAATCAAAACTGGGTAAGAACACAAATACGGAGCTAGAGCAATGGTAGGAGGCCCAATTCCAAGGCTTTGTACGTGCGGAGGTCGACCGGTTGATTCCCCCAGACGTCCACTTTTTTGAAAATAAAATTATGCCCACTTTTTGTACGTGAGCACCTATATCTTATTGCCCAATTTTTTTCATAACAAATACTACTAAATTTATCCTTGAATTTCAACTTATCTGTTTTATAAACTAATTTGGTCACGGAACACGTAATTCTTGAATTCACATACTAAATTTGTAATAATTAAAATAAGCAAGTTAAAAACATTTTTTCGGCGAGATGACTGAAGTTATCGTAAGAGCATCATCTTAGCTTAGCCACTTTTTCATAAGATTTTTTTCATATCTTATAACATACTTCGTATAATTTAAATATCATTCTTTCCTAATATAACAGATTCAGTCGCTTGAGCCATAATCGCATAATTTGGCTTGATGTGGTTTTGATCTAAGACTAAAATCGGTGGTCCAATGACAAAGTCCTTAAAGTTAAACAAATAAATTGGTAATTGTATTAAATTAAAATAGAAACAAAGCTAATGAATATATTTTAAATAAAAATCCAAATAAAATATTGCGAAGTAATTGGATCGAAATTTTCAAATGTAGGCTTTTTAAATTTGATTTCTCGTATGCATGCCCATTATTTTTAGTTGAAAGAGGACATTAACTTTATAAAATTTCAGTGCCCGTTTAGTTATTCTGTTTTTCGGCTTATCAACCAACTTTTTAACCAAACATGTAACTTTTGATTTTGTGCGTTGAATTATGTAATAATAAGAAAAATAAGGTTGAAGTTACTTTTCAGGCTGTATTAACTGAAGTTGTTGTAGTTGACCATTTTATCTATTTTTTCATATCATTTCTTCTTTATTTTATGAATAAAATATATTTTAAATATAATTTTTCATAATCAGCAGAAACAGCCAATACGGCCACTTCGGTCAGAACTTCATAAATTTCAGTAGAATCAGCTGATTCAGCCGATTTCAGTGTTACCAAACGGGCTCTAGTTGATAGTAGACATTTCTTTAAAATTATGGAATATCTTTAAAATTGGTGTATACGCTAACTATGAAACGTTATGCTATTTTAATATTTTACTTCTTTTTATTAATTAGAGTTACATTACAGTAGGAACCCCGTGATTCTGAGTTTCTGGGTCCGCCACTGATTCCATGATAAACAAGAACTGACATAATATACATGAGATTTTTACTTTCACATTCGTATATATCGCATTACAGCCTATCCACATTTACTTGCACATATTTAAGACGTGTTTGTGATTAAATCACTCCAAATGCTTATCAAACTAAGTACCTGACCATACAACACCTATCCAAAGTAATTACACACCAGAAAAAATATTATATATATCTTGGTTCAAAGAGCTAAACTTATTTGCTTATGTGATCTGAATATCAGTAATTCCTATAATTTTATTGCAGTTTTGTGCTTTTTTAATAGGAGTATGAAGAACAGCATTATCATTTATGAAATGATTAATAAATTCATTGGCTGGCTCTTTGTTGATTCTAAAAGTAAAGATTAAATAATTTTGGTATAAATGGATAATACCATCAACCATAAAGGATTTCATCAACAGGCTACCAGAAAACAATCAAACAAAAAAATATA